TAGATATGCAATATGGTCAAAAAAAACAGTCTTGGCTTTAATCGTAAACCTAATGTTCACTGTTCCGATTTTGTTATTATTATTATTGTATCCTTTAATTCCTAGAGGAACATAGGGCTTCAGCCGTGAGTCTCCATTGAGTTCGGTTCTCTGCGAGAGTCTTCACCTGGCTCCATGTCTGCTCACACGTTTTTATCTCCTCTTCACATGACCTCCTCCAAGTCACCCTTGCACTGACGACCAACTCGTCGCTACCCTTTCGGGTTCCACTCAAGGGTACTGTCCATTGTTGCCTGTAGTTGTCTGTATAATTCTTTCTTTTCGAGGTCTGCGTTGTTTGTGGGTGCATAGCATTGTATAATTGACACTTTCCTTTCTTTGGAGTTGAGTCTGGCGGTTATTATCCTGGGCGAGATCGCCTCCCATTGCATCAGGGCCTTCGTTACCGTTGGTGACATCATGATAGCCACGCCCTCGGTGTGCGAGTGGTTATCTTCTGGGTGACCGGAGTAGATCACTGACTCACCCGTTGAAAATTTGGTGAGTCCATTCCCGTTTCATCTGCTTTCACATATTTCCAGTAAAAATATGTTTAACTTCTCATGCTTTTTATCGAATATTCACCATCAGCTTCTTAAATATATATATTTTATGAGATTCTGAAGAGTCTTTTCTTCTCTGAAATTTTTTCTCTTTTTTTTCTATTATCTTTGGTAGAACAGTATATTTTTTCTCCTCCAGAAACACATGATTAAAAACCTAGTTTCTGTACATATTTTTTTACAGTAAATATTGAAAGATTTGTCACATCTGGCATTTTGTAGAAATTCTGAACAACAATTTATTTGGTAACAGTGACAACGAATATCACGAACATTCTTTTCATAAAGAAAAGTTATTTAAACTAAAATATATATGTGTATATATTCAGTGTGATTCCGAAGTTTTTGGCGCAAACTTTTTGAATAAGAGCACAAGATTTATTTCACTTATTTTACTATATATACCAACGGGTGTATTAAAAATGCGTGTAAAGTCGATGAAATGAGGGAGCTGTTCTGTCAACAAAGAGAATAACTTTTTGTTTAAAAACGCTTAGCCCATTCAAGCTATCGGAAACTTAGTGTTGTTTCTGTAATTAATTTACTTTCATTTTGTGAAACAGAAATAGTATATGCATAATACTGGTATCACCTGTGTTTTAAACATTATATATTGGTCGAAAAAGCTGCAGTCAGCAATTGAGACTAGGAAATTAGTTAATTCTGAGAGGCTATTTTCGTTACCACTGGTCCGTATTATAACCTCGGTGTGTTGATGAATGGCGTTTTTGTGTGGACAAGCATGAAATGAAATCAAATGATCAGATATTCAGTGCTCTTAACTGGTTTGAATAAAGAAAGGACGAACGTATTTGGAGAGTAATACAAGTTAATTTCATTTCATGGATTCTCTTCAACTGCATAAACTAAATCAGATATAAGTTTCAAAATTTCTGAACATACTTTTTATAATGACTTGGAGTTATTGATAAAAGTGTAGGCAACATAGTTTTAAAGATTAAAGGAGTTAAAAGAGTAACTCTTTATATAATGATTACACAAGGGGGGGGTAGAGTTAAGATTTCGCTTAGAGACAAAGATGGACAAAGCAACTAAACAGATTTGGAGACTTATGGTGAGTTCAACTCAGTCAATGAAAATCAAATCAAAATTAAATTGAGCCTTACGCAACAGAACGAAACACAAAAACACACAAATAAAACAGTTACGGTTACCAGGGTATTGAAAGTTACTCTATCTTTCTGTATACTGAAGTTAGGTCGAAATCTTTTGACGGCAACAGCCTCTATAAACCGAAATAATTATGGTTTTCTCTAAGTACTGATTATTTTAGGAGCTTAACTAATTTCCATTCTATGTCCCGTATCAATTAGGTGTTTCACTTGAGAACACTTTTCTGCCTTTAATGTGGAGATCTTTAGGGATGTGCTCAGAAAATCTAGCAGACGCTGTCCCTCTCAGTCCTTCCCATGAATTTTTTGCCAGAAGCGCAGGTGAATTGGTAAATGCAATTGAAGTTTACATGAGCAAGATACTTATCTACTTTTTACTGGGTTAACAAACATACTGTGTTGTAAAGTGGAATGCTTCTGGCAACAGGAAATGTTCACTTCAATACACTTTTAATTCTTTTCTCGGTTCTTGAGGATACTTCTTCCCCATTTGTACGCCAGAGGGATAAAAACTGGTTTCTTCTCAACTATTTCAGGTCTCGGTCTAGGTGTTTTTTCACTTCCATATGAACTTTCGGCAACATTGTTTCTTTTCAATGACTGTAGGATCCTCTTCAATTTTATCTTCTGTACGTAACGCTCTAGCTCTCATAAAATCATTTTATTGGGCGCAATCTGTAGCCGACTGATCAAAACCTGTGATAATTCAAGTGTTGACTAGTCCAAGTTTATTTCCTGTAGACAAACTTTGCTATCGTCCCTTCATTTCTTCTTTTAAATTTAGGAAGTGATTGTCATGTTCATAACCCACTGTAAATGTAATGTGAGAATGAGCCTCATTGGATTTTTCAAACATTGTGGTTGCGTGGTCCATATTATTGCGAACCACAAACGTGTAGTTGGCATATCTGCAGTAATAGGTGGTTTTCTCTGTTTTCGGCATCATTCAAATCTGTTCAAGATGAGCCATAAATATATTCACAAGAACAATACGCAAAGGTGAGCCTATAGACACCCCATCAATTCACTGGTACAGCTGGTTGTCGAATGGGAACTGATTATTCTTTGTACAAGGGAGTAACAATTCTCGTAGCTACTTTTCAGAAAGAGGAGGAAGTTCAGGTTGCTGGCATATGATTTTCATTGTTACTTCAATGGGTACGCTGATAAACAATGAACAAACGTCGTATGGCACAAGAAGTTTGCCTGAAATATTCAGTTGATCCAGTCCTTTTGAGAATAAGAAGGTCACCCTTCTACTATGACTGCCAACCTTCCTCGAAATAATCCTGACTTTTGTGACAAACGACTAGCCAGTTTATGGCATGGTGATTTCACCGCTAACATTACAGGTCTCAATGGCATTTCGGATTTGTGGACTTTGGGATGACCATGAATAAATGTTACTCATCAAGCCCTTGATTTAAGATCAATATAGATGCTGTTATCGGCTAATCTCTCTTTCAGCAATGTCATTTTGATGCTGTGACCAGAACCTTTATCTAGGTTAAGAATAACGATCTTGTTATTTAAAACAATTAGTTCCCTTTATGAATTTAGACAAAGCAATATGAAAAAATAGGTTTTCTTATTGCTTTCTATAGATCTTTTCATTATTCCACTGGCTTTTTAACGCTAGCCTGTGCTCTTTAGTAAACATTTATGACTACAAAGGAGGAGAAACGCGATATAAGTCAAATTGCAGTTAAATTACTCTTGTGTCCATCGTTACTGCTTCGCAAAATTACCACTTCGCTGAACGTCTTCTCTTTTTCATATGACTCAATGGGGATTTTCAAGCTATCTAAACTTGACAAACCTCATGTGACACACACACACACAAATAATGATTTACTGAACAGAGTTAAATTTCTGGTCAGCATTTTTTACTCTGTACAATGCAGGCTCTAACACTTGAGAAGAACGGATTAACAACATTTCAAGGATAGACAACCTATGGATAAATCGAAATGCTGAAAATATATACCAAGCTGTAAAAGACAAGCTAGAATATTTAGTTTCATTTGATCTGTTTCGTGTCAAGTCTTATATAGTGATAAATAATACCGGTAAAAATACTGTTTCCGATGTCCTAACTAGCTTGAATCAGTTTTTAACACATTTAATTCAACAGAAGGTCTTCCAGGTCATTAGTGACATCTTGCCACATTGGTTGATGAATACATATAACCGGATGCCTAGTGGAAACTCATATAAAAGAAACATGCCAGTTAACAGAAACACAGAAACGCTTAACAGATAGGTATTCAACCACATACTAAAAAGTAAAACACCACAGATTGGTAGTGACTTGTGTTGGAGATTAGTGGGCATCCATATAAATAAAATCCCCTTGTCTACCCATCGAAGTAACACAACAATAAAATGACCAGTATAGTGAAATGCGGTTCCAACATGAGAGATCTTTCGAATGGACGTCTGTTTAAAATGTGAAATCTCGACTGTGCCATTCAAACGTGTATTTACAGTTAGCCAAATTTTTCCACTGTGCGTCGGTTGCACAGCGGTAGAATGCTCGCCAACCACGCAGGTGGTCCAGGGTTCGATTCCTGGCAGACACACTCCTTTATCTCGCCAAGCCAGTAATAAGAATGGTAAAGAGGGGAGGTTGGGCATAAGACTAGCAACCCCATCCCGTAAAAATAAATAACACTGATACCGAAACTTCAAGCCTCTAGCTTGATGCCCTATGTTCCACTGGGAAAGTAAAGGAATAATATATATATACGTATAAATTTTGTCACTGATCTTTGTCGATGAGTTCTACGATTTCTCAGGTTGTTGAAATATCAGCTTTAAGTGACCAGTAATGGTATGTAAAATGGGATTTCACTACAAAATGATGTAATATAGAAAATTACCGAAAAGGCAGAATTAGCGGACAGATATATTGTTCCATTTTGGTAAACTAGGATGAATGGTAATCAGTTGCATAGTCAGTCGAAGATGCAATGAAAAAGAATTCTTTCCAACTTGACACTCTCCAGCAATACCCCTTAAAGTCAGGAGGTAGAGTACTAGGTTAAAACTCACAGTCCCTATAGACAAGAGGCTACACTTCAACCATTCATTTACAGTAAAACAGTTTGCAATGTACGGTGGTCGTCAGTAGTCACTGTCTCCCTCAATTATTCGATTCCTAAGTGACTTCAACAACTCCCATTTCGCAAAACCGAACTTTTCAGGTGAACCGCTGATTTTGGCATCTCTTTCTAAAGTGAATCGACACCACAAATAAAGCCTGTTTTAATATCATTGTTTATTCCAGAAAAAAAACAAATTGTAAAACGCAACGAAAAGATAATTTCTAAACAAACAAACAAACAAAAACTCATGGACAAGGAAACATCAGGAAAAAATTGTCAGCCACAAAAATCTATAAACAAAACATAAGTTTACATAAATCTCCTACATTAATAATAGTATTATATTTTGAAACACATATATAAGTGAATTCAACTGTGTTTCATTAATACCATTTAACTGTACATGAGGTGATGTTTGTCTTCTTCATTAGTAATTATTTTTGGAAAATGTAAGTGTCTGTAAAGACGTGTGTGTGTGTTTGTGTATCTGTATGCGTGTGTAATGGAATACATCGGCAGATAAAGGTATGAAGTATGAAAGTTGCTGATTTAAAGTAAAAATGTGGATTACCTCATTACATTTTGATACATTTTTGACAAAAAACAATTGTACAGACATGAAGACTATCTAACAACAATATCCAAAGTTTTTTTTTGAAAATTAAAATAATTACATCGAAAACAAGGAAAGAATTCGGTGCACTGTGATCAAGGGTTTATAAGTACAATAGGTAAACAGACTGGAAACGTTCACAGCCAATATTGATTTTAATGATACTGATAGAAATTTAAGAAGGAAATAAATATGCCACGTAAAAAATACAGTGTAGTTACACAATGATTATGAAGGTTTATTTCTGATTTGGAATTATGAATACATTTGGGGCCTATATATAAAGGAAAGAACTAGAGGTAAAATGTCTTCGCAAAGTACTACTGAGTAAAATCAGTAGTAAGTGGAAAACAAAACTAATAAAGGTTAACGAAATGAAACAACCATGAATTTGCAAAACAAACAACGGGTTGAATTTCATTATTCCGATAAACTTCCACTGCAGACGACAGCTAAAACCGAAATTATATTCAAAAGAAAAGGTTTTTACTCATCTTTGAGAGATAAACTTATTCCAGAAAGAAAAAAATTTAAAAGGGAACAAACCAGTGAGAGTTCCAGGATGTATTACATGATGACTGAAGGCAGCAGGATTTGAGCCAGGCGCCTCCAAATTACTAGTCGGCCAGTGTGCTGAACGAGCTGCGCGAGACTCATTTGCTAACCAAGTTATTATTTAACTACAATCACCGCTTTTCCATTATGGATAAAATTTATTTTGATAAAGTCTCACAGTGTTATACAGTAATATATGCTGATGACCACGTTTTGAGCACAATTTATTGCTCATAATCATATCAAGGTACTCACACAACTTTCTAACTTTATGTAATGGAATATGGAATTATATAAACGAAGTTAGAAAGTTGTGTGAGTACCTTGATATGATTATGAGCAATAAATTGTGCTCAAAACGTGGTCATCAGCATATATTACTGTATAACACTGTAAGAGTTTATCAAAAAAAAGTTCACCCATAATGGAATTATACTCTTCCAAAGTGCACAGGTTCTGTTCTTATATCGAGTCACCGCTTTTGTCTGGGACAGTTAACTGAATCACAAAGACCAACAGAGGATATTATGAGTAGGCAAAAATATCTTTATTCACTCTTAAACTTCAGCACAACTATCTTTTATACATCAGTTCTTTTGTATACAAGTATAGTGCTTCTTGTGCGTCGGTGGCACAGTGGTTAGGACGCTCGCCGACCATGCACATGGTCCGGGGTTTGATCCCCGGTCGACGCACTCCTTTACCTCACTAAGTCAGAAATAATGCTGGTTAAGAAGAAAGGTTGGGCATGAAGCTAGCAACCCCATCCTGTAAAATAAACACTGCTCCAGAAACTTCAAGCCACTAGCTTGAAGCCCTATGTTACACTGGGGAACGCGAGGGAAAAATAATAGTGCTTCCTAATCTATTTGACTATGACGATTTCATTAGCTACCCACACTATTCAATTAATTAACCATCAAGTGTATATTGAGACGCTTTTGCGAATTGTTTCAGAAACTGAATTCATGGTTGATTGTGGAGATTTTTAACTGCCAATTATCTGTTTCAGTCACATATACCCAAGAAAGTACTATGCAGTCTTCACAACATTTCGGCATTAGTTTCAGCGGTTGAAAAAATATTATTTACGTAAAAATATCTGAGTACAATCATGTTGCCTAGTATAAAATACCTCTATTCTCTGTCATCTTTAGAAACAGTATATTCTCGCAAAATTGCAAACTTTCTTATTTAAATTGCTATTTGTATCATTCTTGCCCCACCATTTTGAACAAAGACAGCACGATCAAAACAATTTCTGGCGCTCAAAATGCTTGTGTAATAGTAAAAATGCAAACAAATCCAAGCATATAAAAGGTGAATTTTTCAATAGTATGCGTAGAACACAACGGTTTCTATCCACTTTTTTGTTTGTTTTACTATTCTTTTAAGTCAGAGTCATTAACTGAATAAATTTGGAACAAGATCAGTTCTTTCACTTATTCGAACAGAGTCGTTTCAGCTACAGGTGGAACAGATGAGGATGCCGAAGGCAGGATCAGAAAAGCTGCATTAAGCGTCAGGAGCAAGATTTAGATTTTCAACGTTAGTGTCAGGTCAGCGTTTCTATATGGCTCAGAGATTTCGCGCGTCATCAAAAGCATTTCCAGCAGTTTTCTTCGATCCACAGTGAAGATCTGACTGCCAGAAAGAATCAGCAACCGGGAATTCTGGTAACGCGCCAACCAAGAACCTAGTGCTCAACAAATATGCCGAAGGAGATGGAGATGAATCAGACACACTCTGAGGAGACCGATGAGTGGCATCGCGTACCAGGCCCTCAAGTAGAACCCAAATGAGAAACGACAAGTTGGAATTGAGTCCGACGTTGACGTGGAGGAGATAGCGTGAGGAAGAGGTGAGAGCTTATGGGCAATCGTGGAAGAGGACTTCAGAAAACAGAAAGAAATGGAGATGTGCTGCTGAAGCCTTCACGTTTCACTCTGAACCTGATGATAATAATAATAGAACAATATATCGCAGTCATTTCGGAACGCAAACTAATTCCGCGTTTTTGAAATAAACGAAATATTTGATTTAAGATAACCTAATTTTTTTAAAAATATAATCTGATGCAATTTATTGGTTGAACTTCATAAATAAAGCTTACTTTAATTAAATGAACACAAAGGTTCAGTTAAGTTTATCAAAGCATCTTCTGTTTCTTTTGAAATAAGATATAAAATTATGCTTCTGCTGAAATAATTGATTTGTGCTCAACGTTTCTTTTCAGCGTTTGATCTAAGTCAAACAGAGAGGAGGAAAAAATAAGCAGAAAATAGCGATCTTGATAAATGTGATAGGGTAAATAAAACAAAAAGGAAGTTGAATTATCTCTTTTGGAGTCATAAAAACTTGAATACCTGCCTATATTTTTTTCTCTTTGTGAATGAAATCTTTTGTAATTCTGGAATGAATAGAAACAGATTACACTTCCTTGAGGCTACTGTTTTTGGGAGAAATATTTACTCCCTGGAAGTTCCTCTAATGCACCGTGTTTTATTATATACTAAAGGTGGATGAATGAATTTTTACAAAAAAAATTGACTTTTTAGTTCACTTATTTACTACTTTAAACTACTGAAAGAAAGATTAGCAGAAAATGAGTAAATTCTGTGGTCTTATTGTTTTTGTTTACAATGTCTAACCATTAGACTAAGAAGATAAATGTACAAAAGCAAATTACTACATCATAAAAACAGTATCAGCTGCTATCCACTGATGTTCGACAATAACTGCCGCCATCATTGCATGTACTGTGATAATCTCAACGGTGTCTATGCTGCCAATCTAAGTCTTTCAAAAAGAACGTAAGAGTAGAATATAATTTCACACTAGATAAGTTTATTAACTCGAATTATCAATACTGTATCACTGTGAATTATATCGGATAAACTTGTCTAGTACGGAATTTAAAAAGAACATTCTTGTGAAAATTTACAGACAAACCCTGCAATCCATCAGACGATCATATTACTAAGACGAGAGTTTCATGCTCTGTCATCTCAGCCATTCCTCATTAACGAAATTGCGATGGCGTTTTTCACTTCTCATGTCGTAGTACACTTCAAAAGTGTATCACTTTGAAAGGAACTATTTACTAGTTTATCATTGCTTCGGATAGGTAGAATTTCATTATGTTTCTAAAATGTCGGTGTAATTAAGACAGTGTTCAGTGTTTCGTATCATATACATTTACAGCACAGTGTGTTCAAAGCAGTTTTGATACTTAAAAGATCAATTTAATCTTCAGTTTTTGAGTGCTGTCCTAAAAGGTTTTAGAATACGTGAAGTTAGCAGTTTTCCCTGTTAACGCCTTCTCTTCTGAAAATGTGAGGGCTAAACTTGACTTTAGTAGCAGCCCCTTGTTTTATTAACACTTCTTAATTATTATAACATATACATTGAAAACTCACTGAAATCATCTGAACTGTAGGAACTGAAATAGGAAGCATGTTGGGTGTGCCATAATAAGCACTGTAAGTGTTAGATTCATTAGTTGTTGAATTAGAATAATCAGAGTTTTGAATACCTATATAAAACAAATTGGAAAAGAAATAAATGAAGGTTTTTTTGTAGGAATAGGATAAATAAACGTGAATTTGGCTTAGAAAACAAGATAAAGCTAATGAAATGTTTATCCCTGACTTATCACAAAATGTAGATTTTTTTGATTATTTCTTTTGACATCTTTTAAGGCTGAGCACATTTGTCATAATTTGAAAATGGCGGAAATTTCCACTTTGCATAGAATCATTGTTTAAGAATAACGTGATCATTATTACCACTTTAAACAAAAAGTTATTAAGTGCTTAAAAACCTGCATAACCTGTAGGGAAAGGTGACTCGAATATTTACTGTGCGCCCCATTAATGGCTTTGTAAAGAGGCTTTAACAACAAATTGCTTGTCTATATACCGAAAGGAATAATCATAGTTCACAGATCAACAGAACAAAGTGAGACAACTCATATTCATTCAAGACTGGCGTCAGTCTGATAACGGCGGAATTTTATATTTTAATAAATGGCGGCAGTTTGTTCTAGGTAAACTGTATTTACCTTCAATCACTTTTTATGTGCTTATATTTTGATTTAAGCGGCTAATGTTATGTTCACTCGAAATTCTCCAAATAACCTTTTGCACTGACCCAAATCACAAAAAAGATATGGAGTTTAGCATATTTATTTTTCCACAAATAAAGAAAGAAGCCTCATTAGTCCTAATAATTTCATTGATGGATTTCCTACTTTTTTGTCAGGGAAGCGGTACCATGATTAATAAATCACAGGCTATTCCCATTATCTGGTACAGTTGATCGTAGCTATAAAAGTTAAGCAGATGAGTTGCAATTCTGGAAATCTGTCATTGTTCATCTACTCTGATATTTTAATAGTAGACTGGAAAACTTAGAAAATATTTTTGAGAAAAAGAAATACATGAAATGTAAAGAATCGTTTCAAAACTTGCGTGTTTCAACTTTTTCTATAATCACATGTTTTGTTTATTGGGATGCACGCCATCTTGACGAGTAAGTATAGGAGGAATTCATATAGTAGACCTTTAAAATAGGTCTCTCAATGCATTACATTCTGTAATACTGAGAAGGAAACTAGCTAACACTTTATTTATTATTTTATTCCTTTACGTTAGCAGTAGAACACAGGGCTTCAAGTTAGAGCTTTGAAGTTTCAGTAGCTGCGGTATTTATTTTTTACGGGATGGGGTTGCTAACCACGCGCTCAAGTTTCCCTCTTTATCAGTATTATTACTCACTTAGCGAGGTAAAGGAGTATGTCGGTTACCGACATACCCCCGACCACGTGCATGGTTGGAGAGCATTCTACTGCTGTGCCGCTGATGCCCCTAGCTAACATACATTTGATAAACATTAT